ACTTTTGAGGAGCCCGAGCCAAGGGGTCATTGTGCTCTCCTTCGAGAGCTGAGGCTCGGGCATGGAAGTGCTCTTTGGCTCGCGAGGCGGAGCTCCTTCATCCTGGTCTTCGTCCAGGTCCACAACAGGAGGTTGGGGACGGACCTCCTCCTCCGGAAGCTCGACTKAGATCGGCTCCAGCGCAGCGACCTCGGGCAGGACGAGGGCACAAGGACTGGCCTCCCGACGAGACTTCTTTGCGGCCTTCCTCTTTTTTCCTCTCTGGAAGCTCCTTAAAAGGTTCTCTGCATCGACCTCCGGCATGGCGACTACAAGAGAAAAAAGAAAGGGTTAGTCACGAATTGAAGAAAATTCAAAATAAAGAAGAATATGAGCGCCGAGGTGGAGGCCTACCAGGAGGGCTCAGCCCAGCTCGCACAAGTTTCTCCTCGGCCAAGAAATCCCTCATCTCCAGTCCTAGGTCCCTCCAGGAGTTAATGACCGCCCTGGTCTCCGCATCTAGCCTCACCCTGGGGTCTTTAATGGCCACCCGCCAGTGAGTCGGGAAGGGCCACCCCTCAGGGTTTCGGACAAAAAAGTATCTACTCTTCCAGACAAGTATTTTGTAGTAACTCTGTCGGATGTCCCCGCACAGGCAAGCTGAGTTCTTTTTGATTGAACAGATTGAGCTAAAAATGTCTAAGGACAGAGGTCAGTTATACTCGTGGAATAGGGAGATTGTACCTACTATAGTTCGGATGGAGTTCGGGTGTAATTGGTCAATGGTGATTTCAAAGAACTTAATTATTTCTACAATGAATGGGTGGAGCGGGAAGCGTAACCTAGCTACAAGTTGCTCTTCAAAAACCGCGAGCTCATGGTGACCATGAACCCAAGGGTACCGACCCAAATGAATGCTGAAAACTAGGTTATCAGGAAGACAATAACGAGCTACCAAGGACAATAGCTTGTCTGATGTCATAGTGGAATACCCAAAGTCATCTGGATCTCGACCCCGAGAAGAAGACGGGACCCCCTCCCTAGAGGTCGGTCTCTCCTCCCGAGCTACAGGCTCCTCAGGGCAAGATGGCCCGACGTCGGGTAAAGGACTTTCTCCTAAGGGGCGAGGGGGGAACTACCTGGCATGGAGCTGACCTTACCAGTGGGAGCCGAGGACTGCACCTCGGCACCCTCAAGCTCACTAAAGTCACTAAGAAGCCTATCTATACTAGCACTAGACATATTGAAACTGGAACAGGAAAGGAGAACAAACTAACGAAGAAAAGACGAACTCACCAAAAAGATGAAAAACGACCTCAGAACACAAGGGATGAAGTGGCGAGCTGAAAGACACTGACGCGATCTCGGGAGAGCTCAATCACAAGATTTTTGGTGAAGAAGAGGGGCCCCTCGGACCCTATTTATAGCTCACCGCATGGCGATCAATGACTGAGACCTGCTCAATCCATTGGCTCTCATGAAAACCGGTTAAACGACACCCGAGGATGAAATTGGTTGAGCACACTCTTTGACGTCTACGGAGTCTATAAATAGCGTGACGTCCGCGCATACCCGGGACGCGATCTGGGTCATTTCGTAGTTGAGTCAGACGGTTGAACAGGCCCGACCAGCAGTTCGCTCTTCAGATTGTTAGACCCTGCGCCAAATCCACCTAGATCGTCCATGAACTTCTCACATCGGGTTGGGACCCCTAGCACGAGGAGTGGGGGGCAATTGATGAAGGGTGATTTGGCGCGACCTAGCGAAAAGGGGACACGTGGACATGACCTAACTAAGGGATGACAGCTCAGCTTAGCAAGATTAGTTCGCAACGTTTGACCTTGGGTGTTCGATCACCTCGGCATAGAGTCACCTCGGCAAAGAGTCACCTCAGCACAGAATCACCTCGGCATTCAATCCAGTTCGGAACTAAAGAACTAAAGTGCCAGCTCGGGGCTATCAACCTGAACCGCCATGTAATGACTCCAGAAGTTTCTCTAGTAGACTTTGAACCTCACGGGATCATGTCGCGTAACGGCAGGCCTAATCTTCTCCCTACCCGGATCAGGCGGAATTGATAAACCTTATTAATTGATACGTTACTCCCCAAATAAAGCGGAAACAGATCCCCTCAGGACGAAGATCCCAGGAACCGATCCACAAAATGTGCAAGAGCTCAACTATATAAAGGCACCAACCCCAATGACAGAAGGTACGCATGATTTTTCCACTTTCTAGCTCTCTAGCTCTCAAACTCTCAAAGTTTTCTGCTCGCACCACAGTACACTAACTTAAGCATCGGAGCGACTTCGTCGGGTTAGCCACCCCAGGTTCTCTGATCCGCTGTCTTGAAGATTCAGCTAGCTCGCTACTCGAATGGAAGCCAGATCATCCTCCAGTAGGGAGTAGTCAGGTCGCGCATCATCAACTACAATAACTCGTGGTTATGAGAAGCAAGCAGCAACTGGCAAAATATTTTTTTTTCTTTTGGATGTGGCAACTTGATGGAAATTTCCTTGGCTGCAAAAATTTGACAAAAGATTTTGATTTTTGTAGTAAATTGGCAGACGACTTTTGTCTACGAGAATTTAAAGATCGAAATCCCCCAACTGATGTAGCACGGAGTTGTAGTAGCTTTGAATCCCCAATGGTTGAGGAGATGAAGTTACGGTTCTTCCTTCCTTCATTTGGATGCAGTCGTCCCTTCCTTTTTCTTGTCAAAAGAAACGGAACCAATGGAATAGAATTAAAGAGCCAAAGGGGGAAGCTGAAGAGAGAACCGAAGATGAAGAGAATGATTTCAGTTGAACATGCCTCTTGACATGCACATGGCTAATAATATTTAACTTGAAACTTTAACAGCAAGACTTCTTTCAAATTCTTTTGTCTTCTTCTTTCCTTCTCTTATTTTTTTATCTTCTCTTTTTTGTAAAAGAACTTGCTCTCCTCTTCCAACGGTTCCATCCCTCTCATCCCATCCCCTTTTATAATGAGTTGGGTTCATTTGAAGAATCCACCCAACTCCATTCAAATGCATTTAAAATAGTATATGAAAGGAAAGCCAATCCTTGACAACGGTGACTTCCTTTCATTTGCATTTAATTTAGAGGGGGACCCAAAGATTCACTTGGATGCCCTGTCCAATTCTATTAACATGATCCACTCCACCAAATTTGGGTTAATCCGATCAACATTGATTGGTGGGCCTTGCTAAAGAGGCCACTTGGCAATGGGTTGATCCCACACATATAAGGACTTTCACTAATCCGATTAGGCTAGTCCTTATATCCATTTGCCTACCATGTTTCCTTTTTATGGACCCATCACTTAATGTGTGATTGCCATTCAATTGGGTCCCATTTGAGTAAATCCCTCAAATTGATTTGAGTGAACCCTCAAATTTGACATGATTTGAGAGAATCTTTCTCATTACCAACTTTACAATATTTTGTTATTTTCTTCCTATTATGCCAAGGTGAGATAATTGGGCGTCTTCAGTTTTTGCCTTTTTTTAGTTGGATTTCACACATCAAAGGTAATTTATTCAGCCATGATTTTCCTTAATTAATTTGCGTGTAATTATAGCCATTTCAATGGCCCCCACTAAGCTGATTTTCTTTTTGATGTTTTTCTTTTTTTGAGAGAACCTCTTGATTTGAAAGAATCACTCTAATTTAACGTGATCAGAGGGAAAATCTCTCTAATTGACATATAGTGGGCTTACATCAATATTCAATCCTTACATTTAATTTAGTGGGATGCTTAAGGATAGCCGTGTGGCATGGGACTAATGCCCATTTACAAACCCCACCCCTACACCATCTTGGGCTTGAGCTCAACCATTTTTCCCCTTTTTTCTTAAATTCATATTGGGCTTTAATTTCTTGGGCCAATACGTTAGAGATAGACCTGTTCATGGGCCGGGTGGCTTGACGGGCCGGTTCAGCCCAGCCCGACCCCCGGACGGGTTTGAACAGGCTTTTTGGCCTGCGGGCTTAACCTCGGGCTAAAAAGCCCGGCCCGTATAAAATTCGAGTCGGGCTCGGGCTTTGCCAAAATAGCCTGGTCCGGCCTGGCCTATAGTTAAACCTAAGTAAACCCGGTCCAACCTATAGTTAAACCTAAGTAAAAATCCTATGTGATGTCCATTTGAATAAATTTTTTGATTTGAGAAGGTTGTTGATTCACTTGTAGGCCCATTGTTCATTTAAATAGGGGAAAAAAACATATGAATTAAAATAAATAATGTCTATTTGAATAGGGAAAATTTTGATTTTCTTTTATTAGGTCGGGCTTCGGGCTCGAGCTTAAGCCTATTATTTTTCTGTTAATGAACACTAAAAGTCCGACCTGAGCCTGGCCCTGCCCGGCCCATGAATAAGTAGGTCTACTTAGAGACCCCTATATTATATCCCACTAAAAACTTTTATCTTAATGGACGCTCTTTTAGTGGGCCTAAAGATTCTTTCCACTCAATTTCATACTGTCCTTACTGAATGCATTTATTGGGCCAACATCTTCCGTAAGTTTGAAATTTACATATCATAATTTGTCTTCTCTCTCCACTCTAATAATCTTCAAATGTAGATACATATCATTAATTACAAGTGCAATTGCCAATTATTTCTGGTATATATTGTTGGTTTCATTAATTAATTCGTTATAACAAGGACGAAATTAAAGCGGCCTCCATGAACAGTAGCCGGTTACTAATTAATATTGTTTAGATAAAAGGGCAACAACATATCTCAATAAAACTTGGGGGGCGTTTTTTTAAGGATTTTGAAAGGAGTAAAGTTGATTAATGGGATTTTGATTTTCATTGATAAAAAATTTTATGTTTTTTTTTTAATATTTACGTAGTAATTAAGGAAAATTTATTTTCCTAGGTATCACTTATCCATTAAGTGATACTCATCTCCTAGATTGATAAATATCTTTTCTACTAGAGGAAGTTAACAATATTTGAATGAGATAAAAATGACCATTTTAATAATAGATTTTTATGGCTAAAATGATCATAATAAAAGAACATGGATAAATTCACTTATCCAAATAGGTATTTCCCATTAAAAACTCGTCAAAAAGCGAACGGAGCCAATGATTTTCAGGCTGTTTATGTAAAAGGGCCAAAAAACAAAACAAAAAGAAAACACAAATTAAATAAGAACTCGACATACACAAGCGCCTAACGTTCATTGACTGCAGCAGAAGGAATAGAGAGAGATACGTAGTTCAGGAATGACTGGAGACCAACTTAGGCACGACCACTGGAAACTGGTCGATCTCATCGGACCAAGCATTCTTCTCCTTGTTGGGATCCACCGTCCTGAGCGCGCGCCAAACTGCGCTATTGCACTTGAAGCCCGAACCCAGTGCAATCTGCCACACGCGATGCCCCTTCCTGACTCTCCCCTTCGCCTCAGAATAGGCAAGCTCATACCAGAGGGAACTGCTGGAGGTGTTGCCGAACCTGTACAGGGTCATCCTTGAAGGCTCCATCTGCCAATCCGTCAGATGCAGATTCTTCTCTACACTGTCTAGAACACCTCTTCCTCCTGCATGGATGCAGAAATGCTCGAAAGCCCTCTTGAAATCCGGCATGTAAGACTTTATCTTCATCTTGAAAACCTTCCTCGCTATCAAGTTGGCGAGGAAGAAAAGTTGCTCCGAAGGAGGGAGGACCAGAGGACCTAGGTTAGAGATGTTGGTCCGTAAAGCATCTCCGGCGGTTGTAGAAAGGTCCCTGGAGAGGGTCACACCGACGATTCCAGCATCGTCTTCTTCCTGGTATGCGGACCTGTAGCCACGCTCCTCGGCGCCGTAGTGTGTGCGAAGGGTGTGGAGGAGCTCGTACTTGGCGCGGTGGCGATCGGACATCTTGTTGGAGAGGAGGACGGCGCCTGCGCCCATCCGGAAGAGGCAGTTGGAGACGAGCTTGGAGCGGTTGTTGCCCAGGTACCAATTCAGAGTAATGTTCTCTGTGCTCACCACTAGGGCGTAGGTGTTGGGGTGCACCTGTTTGTCATAGGGGAGAATCACTGAATCAGTCGTTTTTTCTAGGGATAACCCGTATTAGTAGACTAGTAGTTTTAAAACCCAGAAATAGTTGCTGAGCAAACTTGCAGCCCAGATTAGGTGCAGACAATCATGTACACTGGGCTGGGCTGGGCTATCTATCAGGAATGAACACGCCGGTGCTTACTGTGGGCCCCATCCGCACACTCCATGTATGTTCACTTGTCATAGGTAGCTAGCCCATCCCGTTGTGCATTTTTGAACCTACTGTTGACCCGGTAGGTTGGACCGTTCAACTCACAACCTGGTTATAATTAACCTCAAAGCCAGAAAATGCTCAAAAGCCATTCACTTGATCAGAACACGTGGATTTAGACGGTTAAACTATTGACACATTTGACCTGATCAGCAATTTATAGGTTACAAGTTACAATTTATACTAAAACTTTTGAAGTCCATAACTGAGTTAGGTGGTGATATTCTTTATGATTTTGATAATTTTTTGTGATCTGTGCTTTACAAGGGGTTGAATGTGCCTTGACCCATTATTTTTTTGCTATAAAACACTTTTTAATCTCAAATTTTAATTTTTATTACAAAAAATTAAACTGAAAATGAAAATATATATAATATGCTGAATACAATTATACATTCTGAATATATATATATATATATGTATATTTGTGAATATTATGCATTAATAATGACTCAACCCAACTGGTTCAACCTCCGGGTTGATTTTTAAAACACTTATGTGAACAGGTCATTGGAGTATTAAATTGCTCCATCCAAATAAGGAATGCAAAAAATGGTCCCTAGGCTGTAATGTGAAATAATTCTAGCTATTTTTTGTAACTCACATTTGCTATAATAGTGTTATTGAGCATGGCTAAAATGGAGAATCAAGGCGTTTGATTTATTGTAGTGGTTTTAACAATACATCACTTCATCTAATTCAAGGCGGAGTCTTAACAAAACATCAAAAGCCTCAATTTCATTGTTTCAGTGCAAGACTATGACATTGGTTATGTTTGATCCGTGGATGTTTGTTGGAAAAAACACTGCCACATCAGCATCACATTGGTGTTGGCATTTATTGTGCATGAAACCGCTATTTGGTTTCAATGTTTATCAAATAAACATTGGAGAATAGAAATGTTTTGATTTATACGCTTGATGTATTGGGGGAAACTTCAAATTCTTGTTTCCCTCAATACCTGATGACATTTATTGAAACAAAATGCTTATGTTGTACACTTTAAGCTGAGGTGAGAAAAAACTTTATGGGGTGTTATTTGAAACGTCCATAAAATGCCAAACCAAATAACAAAAACAATAAACATTTAAAATAGTGTTTTTCAAGTAAACATTTATTTAGGGGTGTCAACGATTTGGTTAACTGAACCATGGGCATATTTTGCAAACCGAACTGGTGGTACTGGTTTCTCCATTTCTCCAAACTGAAACCGAACCGGTACCACCGATGTTGTTTTTGACCAGTTCGGTTCTTCGGTTTTTTATATTTATAATATATATTATATAAATATGTATAATATTATATTATAAATAATAAATGATATATATTATAAATATTTTACAAATATATAATATATAATATATTTATAAATAGATTATTATAAATATAATATAAGTATATATTTATATATTTAATGAATATATATTTATATATAATATATAGAAAATATGTGACATATATTAAAAATATATATAAAATATACATATAAATATATATACCGGTCGGTTCCGTTAACTGCTGGTTTTTTTGTAGGTTAACCAAAAACTGAACCGACCCTTCGGTTTTTCAAAAATTTCAAAACCAAAACCAAACTGATATGTTCAATTAACTGCATTTTGCGGTTCAGTTTTCTCAGTTTGGTTCGGGTTTTTTATTTTTCATAGACACCTCTACATTTATCTAATAAGCATCCCATTTATAAACTCTCACATAACCAAAAGCATACATTATCTTAGCAAGAGTGTGGCGACAATAAATGTGATTTTTTAAGGGGTTTTTATGATTCAGTCCACTTCTAGGTAGAACTATAGGGGTGGACTGAATCCTGCATGTGGCGAGAAGGATATGATTTATAGTGGTTTATAGGGGATTATTAGTAGACTAGGAGGGGGCTGAAAAAAAAAAAATCTGAGGATGATTACAGTCCAAAAATCCCTTTTTTTTTAACGGTCTAAATAATTCTAGCTGGTGGACAGGAAACCATCCCCCCTCAATAAATTCAATCTGGTCCGAGCTGTATACGACTTTATTTGCAGTCCATCATTACTTCGTGCACCAATTAAATACTCTTAATTGGTCCCGTAGTCTGCCGTACATGACTTTATGTGTAATTCATAGGATTATTTGTTTTAATCTTTATGGGCTACAAATAAAGTCATGTACAACGGACTATGGGACCTAAGTTATCTAACCAAAATGAATGCACAAGTGTTTCATACGAACATACTGTAGATTTATAAAGTTTAGGGTAAAATAAAAAAGAAAATCTCTGTTGAAATGTGTAATAATCATAGAAAACCTCTCCTGAGGTTTCTCCTTTGCAACTTAGTAGGACATTTTTCAATATAATTCAAAATATCAGATTTTCCCTTATAAACTTTACTACACGTAATGTTTTTAATTTTAATTAAACGTGAAATTCTTTTGAAGGTATTTTATTCAATTTTTAACGGTAAAATGGATACTTTTGAAGAACTAATTCATTAGGCCAACATTTTCCATGAATAACAATAAGAAAAGGGAGATAACTATAGGTTTTTTCATTATCATAAGGGATGATTTTGCGAAGGTGAAACCTTAGGAGAAGTTTTCATGATCATCGAAAGTTCTTCCAGGGAGATTTTTATATTTTATCCAAAAGGTTATTTATTTTTGTTTCATGGAACAATACAGCAGAGGGGTAGCCTCAGAGTTGTGTGCAGCGGGCTACAGGATCTACCAAAATAAAGCTGCCAGTGTTTCGTGCGCATTAAGGTGTGAACCCCGTGTGTACAGAACGCCGGGGTGCTCGATCACTCGCTCTTGATAATCCTATAGACCCATTCTACATGATTTCACTCTTGATGCCCATCTATTTATTGAAAGGATAAATTGCCCTTCCTTTCTTATAGACAAATGACTTCGGAATTCGGATTTCCTACATTTTTCCTTTACCCTTTCATGCACTTCCGTTCAGTCTTGTATCTCATTACAGGTGTTGAAAAACCCATGGGCATGAGACTAGATATATAGGCCTTGTTTGTTTTCCAGTAAATAAGAGGGGGAATTTGATCAATGAAAAAAGTTACAATTAATATAAAGAATTTCAACTATTTTCATCATATACATTAATATATACATGTCTTTTCATAAGTGAATATATTTATAATATATAAATCAAATCGATCCGATCGATCTATTTGCACCCCTAAGTTTTAGGATAAAAGTGCAGGGGATTTAGGAAAAACTTTCACTGTTGAGGCCAACAGCCTATGCTGTTGAAAACATTTTACCATAGATGGGGTAAGATAATAATAGCCCCTATTTCTTTTTTTAACCATGTTTATAACGTGTCCAGCATAAAAATGCTCTCGGCCAACAGCTGAAGTTAATTCGGGGATTTGAGATATTTCCGAGGTGTGGCTGTGGTCTCCTGTGCATAAGTGGAATTCAAATCAATCCCCCACAAGACTGTCTCCCACAACGTCTCACAGCACATTATGAATATTATCATCAAAATATATTTTCAATACATGACAGGGATGTGGTATGGGACATTGTGGGGGGCAGTTTTGTAGGGGGCTGATTGGGTCTCCAATAAGTGTGGGTACTGAGTAGGGTTCTCCTGAGTAGGTGGGTAGGAGATCCACACTAACCTGTATAAGGTGCGGCCGTAGTGTGTGACACCCATCTTAATTCATAATAAAGATGTGTGGCTCTAATTCACGGTGGGCGGTGGGTAGAAAAAGTGAATAGTAAATCCCGAGTGCTGCTTAAATGGGTTGTTGGCTCTTATTGCGCAAAGCTTCTGATGGCGTGGTTGGTTGGACTTTTTGTGTGGTTGACCATATATTTGTAATATGCTTTTTCCATACATTTTCTTTTCGTTTTTTTTTTTTTTTTCTATTTTCATGGGGCTATATACAACGGGTGTAGCCCAACTCCAAAACCAACAACCCCAAGCAATATTTTGAAAATAGACTCGGAAGTCGAACCATTTTTTTGTCTCCGAGTCATATGTCATGGTTTGATTATATAGGTTGAATGGGTTAATATATGTGTTGGTATGTAGAAACATATATTTTATTAATGAAAAATGTATAGTTATTTTTTAGATGTAATATTTATATATAAATATTATTTTATATTTAATTTAGTTTTTAATTTTTTTATTTATAAAAAATGCTAAAATTTATGATTTGAAGCCAGAATAAGGGTTTTTTTTTTGTAAAAACAGCAGGACAAGGTGCCCACGGCCTTTGGGACACATATCTCTCAAAAAATTACCCAAAATCAAAACAAAAATCATCCCAATCAGACTGTAAACACAAAGTTATGGACTTCAGAAATTTACATACATTGAGTGTGCAACATGCAAAATAGTGAATGAGTCAAACAGGTCAATGGCTCAACTGCCCGAATTGGTCGACCTTGATCCAGTAGTGGGTTTAACCAGTTGGGTCAATTATAAGTTGAAAACACTGCCCCAAGGCCCCAAGCCTCGTGCAAGTGAAGATGGATGACTAGATCTCAACTTTCCATTACAACCAATTAGAGACCTTACCAACTTGACAGTTGTTACCTTGCTTTTTCTGTACATCTTGTTACTAATTCTTTTTCTTTTACTTTCACACACAAAAAAAAAAAAAAGTTAAATGAACATATCATCTTGGATTTAAACAATCTGTTATAGTGACCATATTTTGCTTGGGGATGGGAAGAAAATGCCGCGACCATGAGTCCATGACCGCAGCAGAAATGAGCTCGTCTAACAAAGAAGTAATGAAAATTTTTGGAGGGTTGTTCATGTGGTGTAAAAACCTTTCGTAAATTTTGAAGTTGAGGAAAAAAAATTATGGTTTTTGTGTCTTCTGTTTGTCATCACTGTGGCCTGGTCGTCAGCTTAATAAATGCTCAAGAGTTTTAAAACCAAATGATCAATGAAAGCAGAATAGATATGTTAACTTGGTAGATAAATGAACAGAAACCAACCTGGAGAAGTTTCTTGGCAAGGTCTAGAGATATTACTCCTGCACTGCAACCCATGCCCCCAAGGCTGTAGCTTAAGATGTTATTCCTGAGCTTGTAATGATTTACGATCATGCCGACTAGAGATGGAGTTGGGCTAAAGACGCTACAATTTGCAATGACTATCCCTATATCTGAAGGCTTCACTCCGGTCTTCTTCAACACCTCGTCGATGGCCCCAAACATCACAGTCTCCATCTCTTTCCTTCCTTCGGCCATGCACGGATTCGGCGGTAGCATCCACAAGGCCGGAGGGAAGTATGTCTTCTCCCCAATGGCTGATTTGTCCAAGATTGTCTTCTGGAACTTCATGCTCTGTTCTGAGAACACACCCAGAAGAGCCGATCGCTCGAGGAAGATAGAATGAGGACACTTCAAAGCATCATCTGGCTTGTAGCAGGCAAAATCGACCATAAAGACCCTTGGGCGTCGATTCTTATGGTGCATGGCAGCTATGAAGATTACAAGTAATGAACAAAGAAGCACGCTTGGAAGATGAGCAGACACAAACGCAAGGAGAGGATGAGCAAAGTAGAGAGGTGAGATGAGTTGGAACATTATTTCTTGGGCCATGACTGAGTGATGGTATCAAGCTTATAAAACTGATGATCTGATTTCTATAGCTTCAGTGATGGATGTTAAGATTCACTGATAACAGAAAATGGGAACCCACTTCATCATGTAAAAAAAAAAAGGGTTTTAGATTGACACAAATATTGTTGGTATGTGAGTTTCTGCATGAAATGGGTTGCATGGATTTATATATATATATAGAACGTGGAGACTGAGAGGACCGACATCAGAGAGAAAGGAGCTTTAAGTGTTACCAACTAGAAGAGGCGTAGTAAGGTACGAGCTGCGTGGTTGCCGTTTAGTTAAATTGTTGATTTCAAGAGGAGATCGGGTGAAGCAGAGGCCTCTAAGTCAAGGGTGATTTTGAGGGGGTGAAGGAGTGAGTATGGCTGGCTAGGCGACTGTTCAGGAGACATCATCTATTTTGTGCAGTTGGGACCTTATTTATTGTTGTAGTTGGGTTGGGAACGTTGTTGAAATACCGGTAAGCGTAGTAATCAAAGGCGCTGGCCTATTCAGTATCTCAATGAACAGATGAGATTCTCTCGTCTTCCACTTGTATGGGGCGGTTGCATCAATTCAGTGTATGTATTAATTAGAGCATGAGCCACTTTTGTTTTCTTATTTTTCTTCCGGGTGTAAAAGACTTAAAGCTCCCCTAATGTTTCTCCTAATTACTTATACTTCCCTTGTAATTTCTCAAATGACTTAAACCTCGCATGTGAAATGATGTCACTAGACAAATAATACCCCTCCCTTAACTATCTTCAATATTCAGGTTGGCTCCACGTCATATGTGTCTTATATATATATATATATATATATTCAAAAATTCACTTTTAAGAAAAAAAGAACAAATAGAAAAACCTGAAAAACAAAACTTCCCAATGCCCTGAGTCAGTGCTGCGTTGAGTAACATCACAGTTGGGTTTGAGGCAGTCAGTGGTGGAAAGATAAAGGGACCATCTTTCAGGGACAATGAAACTTGAACTCAACCCTCCAAATTTGAATTGATAACACCATTAGGGAGAGGACTTTTGAAAAATGTTGGTCGTTATTAGTTCATATTTGATTTGTGTTTGTATATATTTGAAGAGATCGGATCTGCTCCCAACTAAACCGTTCCAACTCATAATAATTAAGGATGTATTATTATATTTGATTTGTGTTGGTTAAGCTTGTATTATTATAATAATTAAGGATGTATTAATATATTGGAGAAAATTGTCCAGGTTGCACAAAATCTCAGTCTTAAATACACATGTTATTCTTATTATGTGAGATCTTTCTTGTTTTTTATTCCCATCTCAGAGCTTGGTTTTAGAAATATCAAAGAGGTTAATTTTCTTATTTTTGATGGAGTAGTTTCGATGGTTTACTTTGAAAACTTGAAACACATTGATGGGCAAAAGTGTCTTTTTATGGATTCTAGTCAAATATAACGGCATTTTAGAGGGACAGGGGAGGTTTTAAGTCCTATTGGAAAGCATTGGGGAAGTATAAATATTTATGTGAAAACTTAAGGGAGGTTTAAATCTTTTACCCTTTTCTTTCTTCACTCATAGTCAAATGCCTTATTTTGATCTCAGAGATTAGACCTATCAATGGGCCAGGTTTACTACTAGGGGTGAGTAAATGGGTAGATTCTGCCTAGAACCAAATCCAAATAGAACTGATTTAAATCTGGCCTTGAACTAACCCAACCCAATTTGTTCAAAGCAGGGTCTGATTCCAAATTCTTGGAATTGATCCCCACCCAACATTGGAACCAAATTTTTCTTGAAATAAACCCCAACATACTTTTTGAGGATGTAAAAATTTGGACCCAAGCAGGCCATGGTCTCAATTTGACCATTGAATTACTTAAGTGATTTGATAATTTATTTTCATTTTAATATTTGAATGTGTATAATAAGTAATGTAAAAGGTAATATTTACAAAATTTAAATTATAATGATAAATTTTGAACTATATATTAATATATTATGATAATCTACATATTAAATTATTCAATTTGATCAATAAAAATAATTTAAGTTTTAAACTATATATTATATTTCTTGAAAAATTCAATTTTTTAAAGAACATGTTTCATTTTTTTTTTTTGAAGGGGGACAGTAAAGAAAGAACATGTCCCACATGTAAACACTGGAACCCACCCCAAAACCACCAAGGCTAGAGCTGACCCTGGAACTAACCTTCACAGGTTTGGTTCCGGTTTCAAAAATTTAATTTAGACCCAACTCCTATAGGGTAGTTAGGTTCTATCATGGAACCAAACCAAATCAACCCATTCTCACCCCTACCAAATAGAACCAAATTTTTAAAGAACATGTTTCATTTTTTTTTTCCTGAAGGGGGACAGTAAAGAGAGAACAGGTTCCCATGGAACTGACCCCAAAACCGCCAAGGCTAGAACCGATTCTGGAACTGACCTTCACAGGGTTGGTTCCGGTTCCATGCAAAAATCTAGAACCAACTTATATAGGGTAGGCATTAGGTTCTGTCATGGAACCGAACCAAATCAACTCATGTTCACCCCTACCAGATAGAACCAAATGGACCGAACCAATTATGTAAGTTCTGGTTTTGTGGTTTGTCTCCCAATTAATAATTGGGTCAAGGCCAATTATTTCTATTCCAAATTGATTAAGAGTTGAAACGATTATATAGTTAATAACGTATGGATCAAGATCTCTTGGTTTTTGTTGTGATTTTTGTTATATTTTGTCTTAAAGGGTAAATTTTATAAACAATATATAAGATAATTTTGGTTAAAAACATTTGTTTCAATATATCAACATATAAACAACTTACGATTTTGTTGTCTTTTTTATTAATGTTATATTATTCAAAATAAAGTTCTTAGTTGTTATTATCATTATCTATTAAAAAATAAAATTGCCATTATCATAAAATAATTATAGATGTCAAGTATAATCAGGTCTAATCGAATCAAACCCTATTATCCCGATTAATAATTGGTTCAGTTCTGGGTTTATCTTATAGAAGTAATTAGTAGTGGTTTGCGTGACTAAACCAGACAAGACCCATTGACAACTCTATCAGATCTACAATGGGAATTAATCCTCAACTACTTACCAAAAGATATTGAAGAAAAGTAGGTTTTGCTTGACATACTTGGAAAAGTATCAAGTAAATCCATGCAAATAATGCATGGGCTGGGTTGGCACATTTGGATTTTTAAGTCACTTGAGATCCTAACTATGTTCCATATTTAAGGTTGAATTGACTCTTAACCTGACCCATTTAAGGTTGAATTGACTCTTAACCTGACTCAAACCCATCTAATTTATTCTTTTGCTTTATTAAACGAGTCAAAAGGGGTTAATGGAGAGTTAAGAGGAAAGAAAGTATTTAAGGGTGGTGGGAAGACGTTATAAACATTAATTGTTGGGGCAGAGGGTTAAGAATGGTTTTATTATAGATTAATGATGGATTTTGTTAGACAAACTTAAGACCTAAAAGGGTTTTTTTATAATTTCTTATTAAAAATAAATAACCACATGTGTGAAAAATGGAGCACTATGACAATTGCAAATAATTGGGTGCCCATCTAAGTTCAATTCAATTATTATTTTTTTTGGGTATATCTATTTTATCCAATCACATTCTAAGTTGTGCTTTAGTAAGAGTGGCCAATTTCCTGTTCTATAGATAAATTAGTATTTTTTTATCTTAATGCTAAATTTTTTACTATTCTTTTTGAAAAATAATCTTTTTTATTAATTTTTATTGGTTTATTATTATTTTTGTATTATTTTTAGGAAAAATTAAAAAAAATATATCCTTTTGTTAAATTTCTATAAACCACCTTTGTGTTTTGACCTAACAAATACCTCGTTTCCCTTAGCTTTTCAGTAACAAAGACATTGAAGTTGTGAGAATACCCTTGTTAAGGCATTAGCATACACAATTTAAAATTTTAACTTTACCCTCCATTAATTTATTTTTCCAAACAACTTTCAAAGAATAATTATCTTTAGCATTTTTGGACAAATTAGGGTAAAAAGGCTGAAGTGAAGTAAAATTAATGCATTACATCAACATTTTTTTTTATTTGGAATGTTGATCAAAAGGAGGTATTTGCACATTTTTTCAAAAGAATAGGGGAGGTTTTTGTTAAGGTCAAAATATAGGGGAGCTTCATACGATTGTGAGGAAATCCAATGAGGTTTTTGTAATTTTCCTTATTTTATTGGAATTTAAATTGATTTAATACAATTAAACTATATTTAAAATTAATAGTTTTTATTAATTTTTGAAATTTGTAAAAGTTAATTATAAAACTAATAATTGTTAGATAGTTTTATAAATTGATATTATTTTCTAATTTATCTTATTCATTTTATTAATTAAATTCTTTTTTGTTATATTAATATAAATATTTTTATCCATAAAAGTAATTAATAATTATTTTTATTTTATTTGAGCAACTGACTAAATTATTCTTTCTATGGTTAATTAATATCTATTATTTTCAAATGAAATATAAATGAATTATAATTTTAAATGGAAGTAGATTATTTAGCATAAGAATATATCATTGAATATCTAATTTTCAATATAATTAATCTTTATTAATGGTTATAGTTTAATGTAAATATATCTAATGTATATAAAATTGTAATTAAGTTGAAATAGATATAAATATAGATAAAGCTAATGAATCTTAGGAAATTTAATGGGAGTAAAAGTCTTAAAGGTGATTGACCATTTGACTATTTGAGTTATTTTGTTTATTTTAAAATTAAATAATAAAAAAAAACTTGGTCACCATTTTTTTTTTTTTGATTCATAGATTCATCCTTTCTGTTATTGCCAATTATTAATGCCAAAAAGGTCGGCCACCAAATCTTTTCTTTTAAATGTAAATACAGTTATTGTTGAATGGTGGATTGGCTCATGTCATCCGGCGCAAAAGATGGACTAGTTTCAATGGTTTGATCGGAGCCACGTAATTGGATACAATATATACAAATCAACTGTTTTGTTCTTTTGTCTCTTAAGGACAAATACAAATATATACGGTATAAATACATACAAATTAATACAAAATAGATAGTTTTACACTTTACATATTTGCGCTTATACTCTTTCCAAACTGAGCCTAAGGATTAGAATATGGACAGAGTAAACGGGGAAAGAGGGAGAAATGAGCCACGGTATATTGTATTTGAAAACTCGCTACACCTCAAAACGAACGCAAGTTTTGAAATGAACCACCATCACTCAAATCCATGCTTCCGAACCCTGCCTTACTTGGCAGG